CTCTCTCTCTCTCTCTCTCTCTCTCTCTCTCTCTCTCTCTCTCTCTCTCCCTCTCCTCCTGGCTTTGTGTTTCTCTCGGCCTTTCAGGTGGTGAAGCTCAAGCAGATAGAGCACACTCTGAATGAGAAGAGGATTCTTCAGGCTGTCAGCTTTCCTTTTCTTGTGCGGTTAGAGTACTCATTCAAGGTACGGACTATTTTAGAAGGTGTGTGTGTGTGTGTCTGTGTATACAAGCCTATGTGTGGCTGTGTGATAACTGGTTACATTTCTCCCATCCACTCACACCTTTATCCATCAAACTACCTTCTAAGCTGCTATTAGAGTTTCTTTTACTTGTTTGTAAAGGTGGTCCATTGAAAAAAAAAAAAGTGTTTTACTTCCAGTACACCCACCCAGATGTCTGATGGCAAGTATCTTCCCATCACGAGCGTGCAGAAATACAAACTGCTTCACTGTTGTTCAGCAAAACGAGTGCCTCAAACGAGTGACTTATTAAACCGCTCATAAGTTGTTAATTTTCAAATTATATCTCAATCTGTGTTCACTGTGATTCATTTGAGCTGCACTGTGTAAGCTATGTGGACAGTTATGTGTCACTCTTTTTACATACTAACAATCGCCTTCACCTTTTTAACAGATAAGCCATTAAATCATTTCTTTGTATGGAGCCCTCCTGACTCACCCTGCTTTTACATTATATCCCTGAGACATGCAAAATTACATCCACAGGACATATGGATGAGGCAGCTGGAATGTAACAATAACTCCTATTTGTCTGCGAGTTTACATAGTCATTCATGTTAGGGTGAAACTGTTATTTCAATTTAGTTTCTCTAGATGCCACACAAACGCTGCACAAAAACCTGTAAGGCCGAAGCAAAAAACAAAAGACAGAGGCTGCTTTTAGCTACAAAACAATTTAATTAAACTGAGTTAAATTCAAATAGACTGCTTGCCACCTCCTCCACTCCACTGATGATATAAATATAAACACGATAACATATAAATCATACTAAAAGTTAGCGATAGAGCAAAGTAAAAAAAAATATCCATATTCTTACGATATGTACTGACCCCTCGGTATCCAGTCTATTACTATATAACATGAAGAATTGAGAATGCTGGTTAGTGTGAGAGCCAGCGCATTATACAGTTGATTTACGGAACTTGTTAATGAGCAGTTTCTTATTTATAAATCCAGCCGACACCGAGCAACATTATCATTCATTTGGAGTCGTGTTCCTAGCCATCTGATGAATGTAAGTCCAGCTTTGGTCTGAGCTGGTAGCATCCAGTAGCATTATTTACAAACTCTCTTCCTGTGTGCTGCTACTCAAAGGCAACGTTGACAAGAGCCAAAACAGTAAAGCTGTGGGCTGTACATCCAAGCCGATGAGCTAAAAGAGGCTAAAATGCGCCGTGGAGCTGAGGGAAGAGCTGCAGAGTTGGTGATGAATATGCGCAGGGTCGACACAAAAAGCAACACCTCATGTTACCGAACTGATACATAAATGGAACTTGATCTATTGTTAATCTAAAATGTTGGTTAAAAATTTGTGCACAATGAAGCTAAGCAGCAAACCTGGCATTCACACAATCAGACAAAATGCTTTAAAAATTAAGAAATGTGCAAATATAAAAATCTAGTAGAAAAATTGCATGTACAAGTATGTCTATGAAAACGGTGACTTGTTGTAAAGGTAGCTTATTTGGTGCGTTAAAAACAGCTATTAATCTACACATTGCAGAACATATACAGAAATCTAGTGACTTAAGGTAGCGCAAAAAAAATACACAGTAGGTGCAGTTAAATGGAAACGTGTTTAGGTTTAGTGCACTCATATAATGTGCATATGATAGGATTGCAATATTTATTATTTAAAATATAATGTGAACAGGATGAAATGTGTCACTGGGTGTGACGTCTGCTCAGCTTATCATTAAAGATCACTGACAAGTATGTAAAACAAACAGAAAACAGACCCGCTGTTTGTTTTAATGGACATTTACCACCATCTCTGGTTAACATTTACATTTATGTAACTCCTGTTGCCTTGATGTCTCTATTTAACGATCATATCTTTATTTTTCACTTCCTGTAACACTACCTTAAGCCCAGACAGAGCCAGGTTAGCTTTTTTTCTGTCACAGGAGCAGCAGTCCTCGCTTGTACCCCAGTTTGTATCTGTACAGACTGACCCAACTGATGGCCATACCCCAGTTAAGGCCTTATTCAGGTTAAGCTGTTTAGATGCACCTGGATGCCCAGGGATTGAATATCCTTGACGCCTCGAATAAACCAATTAACAGAATTTTCCTGTCCATGTGTGCCGTCCTGCAGACAGATGGAAGAGTCAACAACAAACAAAATCGAGTCGGCCTGGTTGGAGTTGTTTATCGAGCCCTATTAGATGATCTAAAGAACGCACAATTAACAAACCGGGTGTTGAAAATAACATTCCTCAGTCACTGTATAATTTACAGACACTCTATCAAGACCTTTTATTGTAAAATTGTTATGATGATCAGTGAACTGATGAAAAAAGTCAGTCAGATTGGAACTTTTGTTAACTGCTAGAATTGTCCTTGTCATTTAGCTGCCCATCCCGTGTGTGTGTGTGTGTTTGTACTGGAATTTTGTTCCTACCTGAGTGTGTTTACATGTGTCACTAACCTGTGGCCTCCCTTCTCCAGGACAACACTAACCTCTACATGGTGATGGAGTATGTACCAGGTGGAGAGATGTTCTCCCATCTACGAAGAATTGGCAGATTTAGGTCAGTGTCTATATGCAGGAAGGTCTACAGCCAGAAACATTTTGTAGATGCCCACAGAAGTAAATAAAGGACCTTCAAAGTATACTCTGTTCTCTTGTATTCTGCTATATTCTGTTCAGCTCAGTTCATCTCGGTTGTCTACAGTACACTCCACTAAGCTGCTCTCCTTCTGTCTCCCTGTGTTTGTGTGTATACAGTGAGCCTCATGCTCGGTTCTACGCTGCTCAGATCGTTCTGACCTTTGAGTACCTGCATGCTTTGGACCTGATCTACAGAGACCTGAAACCTGAAAACCTGCTCATAGACCAACAGGGCTACATACAGGTACATAACCACAAGGACGCAGTGATATACAAATGCTCATAAAATACCTACTCAGGATGTTGAAACTAACTACAATTTACTTATTTAACCCTCTGACCCTCAAGCCGTTTCTGATCATTTTTTGTTCCTGTCCCATTTTTACTCACTTTGGCCTCATTTTTCACTGCAATATAAAGCCCTGCACCTCTATGGTGCTGTGGCTAGAAGGAGAGAGAACTGATGTGTCTTCTGTGTAGTATGACACAGTTGTATTGCCCGTAAATCACAGAAAAAGAAAAAGTTAAAGTTAAATCAATTTCATTATTTATTTTTCAAAAATGAAAAAAAATAAAAAAAATCTAATCAACATTGTTCAACATATTTCCAAGTGCCCAGAGTTGTTACTGGAGAAAGGTTTGGCAACTCTGCATACTGAAGATATTTTACAACTTGCGAGCTACATTTTTTTTTTGTTTGTTCCCATTCCAGGAGTCCATGTATCCTCTCTGGTCTGTGTAAATGCAGCCTGCAGTTCAGTCAAACACTCTCAGAATTCTTGTCACTTCAGTGTTGATCATCGCTAAGTCACTAATGGTTTAATGGTTGCACCAATGCACGCATAATTCTTTGTTTTTTATGGACTCCAGTTGGAGCAAACATTTTTGACAATTTTTTTCAATAATACATGTTTTAAAACTTAGCTTTGGCTGTATTTTCTGAGTCATTCAAGGACCATTGGAAAGTGGAAAATCTGATGATTCTTTGTGTTTTTAAACTTTGTGGTCATTTTGTCTTTTTTTTTTTTTTTGAAGATAACATGCCTTTCAAACTCACGGGTGGATTTTAGGGTTCACAGGGATTTAAAAAAAAAAAAATTGCACATTAAAGGAGCCCTCAATTGAAAACAAAAATCAGCCACTCTTGTGTTGTCTCAGTGGATGTCAAGATTTCCAGCTCGTTGCGGATAGGCCGAGTTCTTTATGTTTGTGTGCTCACATTAGCTTTTAGATCAAAGAACAGCCTCACAGTGCCACTAGTATGGCTGTTGTTTTGTTTTCAATAATTTTGAGTACATGCACGTGAGGGCTCTTTGGGGACCTCAAGTGGAGAGTAACGAGGCAGCTTTTAAAGGTTCGATGACAATAATCATCAGTGCGTGGTAACCCTGCCATAAACACCTGTCTCTCTACAGCCTGTGTATATTAGCACAGTTACAAACAGTAGCTGTAAAAGTATTCTACCCAGACGCAGCTCTCTCTCTCTCTCTTCTAAAACCAGAGATAGCAAAATCACAAGAATGCTTAAAGAAAAACAGGAAATTCTCATTTTCAAGAATTAAAAAGCAATCAGATCTTTTGTTTTTGCCTAAAAAAATGACACAGATTATCCAAGTAATTTTCTGTCTATTAGCTAATTGATTTAATCAGCAAACTGTTGTGGCTCGAATATGTATTTGCTGGGACATCAGAGTAATGATGTGCAGTAGTTGGCATTAGCTTGTGTTGATGCAACATAGCATAAAATTACCACAGCATCACACCCGCAGCATTTCACAAACACACAGTTGTAGTCTTTGTGCGCAGTCTGCAGCATCATAAACTACACTGATGAAACTTTAATGTAAAGCATGCTGTGGCTCAGGTGGTAGAGCAGGTGTCCTCCAATCGCAAAGTTGGCGGTTCGATCCCCCGCCCCTCCACAGTCAAAGTGTCCTTGGGCAAGACACTGAACCCGAAGTTGCTCCCAATGGCAGGCAGCACCTTGCATGGCAGCTCTGTCACCATTGGTGTACGAATATGTGTGTGAATGAGAAACACATTGGAAAGCGCTATATAAGTGCAGACCATTTACCGTAGCGTTCGCTGCTAGCTCAGTCTGAGTAGGATCCGCCCACCTGAGGAAGCGTGTACTTGTCAAGTTAAACATGTAGTAACTTAAATGGCGTTAGCTGTTGTGTTAGATCTGAGATTTTAAAGCCATTGTTATGATGTACTGCCATAGCTGTTCTGTCTGGTCACTTACGCAGAGTAACAGGTCAAACAGTTTAAAGTTCTGTTTTAAATCAAAAATTCTTGGAAGAAAATTAAACATCAGTAGAGTTTTTTGTAATTTTAGCTATCAACACAACTGGTTGTTTCAACACTCAGTATAGAGTCATAGTCATGCACAACACATCTTCACCATATAGCCCATTGCTTTAAAAACAGGTTCAGCTCTGTCTTTTAGTAGCTACAACGATTGCACAGTTCTGCAGAGAACTAGATGACTAAAGGGGACAGTTTGAGTATGTCGTTTCCCCTCCAGCTATGTGGTAAAATGAGTTGAACTAGACATTAAAAAAATAAAAAATAATAATAATAATAATAACTGGTTCACTCTCGTCTAAGCTGGTTGTCCCTGCTTTCCTGTGCCTTCCTGTGTCTCTAAGTTGAAGTTGGTGAACACACCATGATCACAGCTGAGATGTTGGCTATAGAAGCAGATCATTCTGGACTACATATAAATATTCAGACAGATGGGTATCCCACAAATACAAACAATATACAGGTGTTTCCTCCTCTAACACATACTCTGTGATGTTACACAGACATAGAAGTGAATTAACAATCTGCACAAACTGAATGGCCATCTTTTAGTACAGATTCTGCCACCCTCTTGTGGCGAACTGTGAAAGAACAACTGGTGGCACATTTCCTTGCTTCTCCAATGTGCTTCTTCTTCTGCTCTCCACGTCTATCTGCCGTCTGGCTCTCCTTCCTGCTACCTTTCCTGTGGTTAGCAAAGTATTCTAAGTGTATATCTACTTATTGGCCTTTTGTAGGTTTTCTCACTTACCATCCCATTGTTATTGCTCTTTGTCCTCGTCGCTCAGGTCACAGATTTTGGCTTTGCCAAACGTGTAAAGGGCCGGACCTGGACACTGTGTGGCACCCCAGAATATCTGGCTCCAGAGATTATTCTCAGCAAGGTGAGCCATCATTGTTCGCCTCTTAACACCTGTGTGAATACCAAACTGGTCAGATGAGTGTGTTAACCCATTTGAAGTGAAATGAGTGCTGCAAAAGAAGTATAAACACATTATAACACTTTCTACAAAAATGCTTTTTAACTGTTTTGCTTTAATAACTTCAGAACATTCATTTAAAACTTACAAATGGAATATCAAGGAGAAAGACTGTTGATATTTAGATAATTAGCATATTTAGATAGTTGGCATGTGCCACATCTCCCATTCCTATCACTCCCACTGCACCCTTTACCACCCATGTGCACAAGCGCCAACGTCAACAGGTCGATCGGTTCAAGTCACTTTGTTTCACTTTTACAGAATTTAGTTTCCCATAAAATAATAAACATGATCAACTGCAATCTAGTTAAAAATGTGCGCTCTGCTCTTGAAAAAAAAATAAAAAATCCAATGCTATGCTTAGAGACAAACAATTTAGAATCACCAGTTAACTTTAGCATGTTTTTGGACTTGTGGGAGGAAGCCAGAGAACCCACGCTGCGCAGGGAGAACATGCAAACTCACAGAAAGATCACAGGTGTCCTAACCGGGACGTGAACCAGGGATCTTCTTGCAACGAGGCGACGGTGCTAACCACCGAGCCACCGTGCAGCCCCCGTTGTATAATTCAGTTCTATTTAATTTTCATTGTGCTAAATTCTAATATATGTCATCTCAAGGCAGTTAACACAGAAAGATCAGGAGCTTACAGTATTGTTAGCTGGAGGTCATGGTTTTAGGGATATTGATTGCTCCAGCCTTTCAGACTTCTCTGGGTATATGGGTTAAAGGAGTATCGACAGAGCGCGCACAGCAGTCGTCTCACTCCCACTCTGTCAAATTTACAATTATGGCCTAAAAGCAATCACATGTTGTTGTTAACTACTTGCACAAACACAAAAATATTTCGATGAATAATTGTACTGTCAGAGATATGTTATATGCAACTTTCACATCTTCCTTTCTCATCTTAAGATATGTTGGCGAACTAACTTGTAGCTAAACTGCAGAATAAACAAAGTTTAATGAAACGAAAAGCATTTTAAACTGTGTCTTTAATAACTGTCTTTTTTCCCTCCGCCCTCGTCGTACATGTCGTCACATCCATCAGGGGTATAACAAGGCGGTAGACTGGTGGGCGCTGGGTGTGCTCGTCTATGAGATGGCAGCAGGGTATCCTCCGTTCTTTGCTGATCAGCCCATTCAGATCTATGAAAAGATCGTATCAGGGAAGGTGAGTTTGACCGTTTCCTTGAACGACTGTAACTTTTGGTGCTTTAAGTGAGAATACCCAACCCCGGTAACCCAACTGATTTTTACATGAGGTTATTTAAATGTAGTTTTTTTTCTGGGTTGAAGGTTCAGTTTTGAGTCAAGCACACAGTCTGTTGGATTTGTTTTGTTAGTTTTCATTTCAGTTTTGTTGTAGTATTGAAGAAATATGACTTTACAATGAAATACAACTGCCAAGTGGATGCTTTGCTTTCTTTAACTCGCAATCTTATTTGATGTATGGAAAGACTTTGTAGTGATTCTTCAGTGAGTCGTGGGTGCACACAACGACACACACAATGATCCACATGTTCTTGCTGGAGGTCTTGCATGATAAGCAGTGATTTAGTATTTTTTTGTTTTTGTTTTATAGGGTCATTTTATTGTGCCTTGATGTGTATCACCAAAGATTTTTCTACTTGTAAAGTTTTGGATCAAGAGGTTGTTCAGTCATATTTTTTATCATCTTATCATTTTTAGAAAATATAAGTTCTTATCACATTTATTCCAAACGCACTCTTGGTGCTGATGCCAGAATTTTAAAATCTCTTCACATTAGAAAACCAGGTTTGGTCGCTGTTTAGATCCTTAAAGCAGGATAAATCTGTCCAAGGGTAGTAAACTTTTTTTTCCCTCTTTACCGCTGCCAAAGTGCCCTTGAGCAGGAATGTATGAAACAGAATGCAACCACCTGCATTCATTCATCTTCTTGTTATTGTCTTTAGGTGCGTTTCCCATCTCACTTCAGTTCAGACCTGAAAGACCTCCTGAGGAATCTGTTACAGGTAAAAACAAACACCTCAGGCGTTGTCATGTGAACGCTTCATTTACTTTGTTTGAATGTAAACGTGAGAGAAATGCGTTGGTTTCATCTTCAGGTGGATCTAACAAAACGTTACGGGAACCTCAAGAACGGAGTCAACGACATTAAGGGACACAAGTGGTTTGCAACAACTGACTGGATTGCCATCTACCAGAAAAAGGTGTGTGTGTGTGTGTGTGTGTGTATGTATACTGGCTATATGTGTGACCTTCCTTCTGTTAGGTTCAACTTTTAATGGTTGCCTTTACTCGTCTTTAGGTGGAAGCTCCCTTTGTCCCCAAGTTCAAAGGACCAGGCGACACCAGCAACTTTGACGACTACGAGGAGGAGGAGATCCGCATCTCCTTCACTGAGAAATGTGCCAAGGAGTTTGCTGAGTTCTAGAGTTAGAGAGCGAGAGAGGAAGAAAGAAGGAAGTAGGGAGAGTCAAAGGTAGGCTGGTCAAGCGGGAGACATAAGGAGAGAGTACTGTCTCCTGTCCAATCACAAGCACCAGCTACAAAAAAAAAAAAAGAGGAGAAATGGGATAGTGAAGGGGAAAAAGAGCAAGGAGACTGATAACCAGCAGTGTTGCCTTTTCTGTTGTGTTTCTGTTGTATTTTATTTATTATTCTGTCTTATTTATGGATCCCTTTATAATGAAGGTGTGCTTCATGGGTGTCGGGAACCCCACTAATTTAGAGTTGCCTCTACACATTTTTCACCCAAGATCTTCCCTTTTTCTTTTCTAGTTTCACTCATCTTTTATTCATTTTTGCGCCACAGCGTAGAGGGATCGGTCACTCTGTCGATCTGATCTGATCCTCTCCGGTCTGTTAGTCATTCCATGAAGCTCAATGAGTCTTGTACAAGTTTAGATCTCAGTCCGCACAAAAGTTTCTTAAGTTATATTTTAGTTTTTCCTCCAATATCGAAATGTTTGCTCTCTCATATCATAGATGACATTCTTTAAGGCATTATGGGCCAAAAGAAAAACGAAAAACAGATGCGTTGTGTACTCAAATTTCAGTCAGAGACAGATGACACTTAAAGGAAAAAAAAGTCAATTACGTTTACTGTGTAACTCCATCTATCGCTCTTTTCATCGTTAGGTATAGCCAGACTTAGTGCATATCTGCAGTACTCCATTTTTAAATGTTATTAGATACTAGTGGCTCCAATGATATCATGTCACGCTAACAACAACAACAACAAAAAAAAAAGAAAATATGAATAAGGGAACGGAATTATCTCAGTTTTATTGGTGTTGTGAGGAAACACCATAACATAATGGTATCTCAGGTTTGAACATATCACTTAATAGACATTTTATCAACATAAAGGATCAGCAGGTAAATCTGTGATAAAGATTTGGGAATTTAAAGTTCTGGTTAAAATTAAGAGGAACAAAAAGGGAATATTTAGGATTTTGGTTAGCGTCTTCCACAGTTTGCCCTTCCAGAAGATTTGATTTTCCTACTCGACAACACTGTTTTCATAGAAGCACTGCTCACTCGAGCTCACTGACTAGTCAAGGTGATTCCGCTTTTTGAATCAGCTATTTGGCCCTGCAACTAAAAGAGACCACCTGAGGCAGATGACCTCAAACTGGTCAACAGAGCACTTTGACCAGTCACTGGTTGTGGTCTGGATCGTGTGCTTTATGGTCTTTTATAGAAACCTGCCCCCCCTCCATCACCCAACTTCTTAATCTTATCATTTGCAAAGCTAGACTCCATGAGACGGTCTTACAGCAACTCTGTTACATTTGTGTGTTTTAAAACATGCACAGTTTTTGTTTAGTTTTTCCGTGTGTTGACGTAAAGATTACTGGCACTCCATTGAACAAGTTCGTAAAAGATAGAAGACCTGGAGGTGAATAGAGCCAGTATTGAGACAAAAATGTTCTCAGTGCACCATGTACAACCTGCCGATTTAAAGAAATAGCACTTCAGGTGTTCGGTGTCTCCTCTGGTTGCTGAGCTGTGATGGCAGAGTACTCCAACAATGTCCACAAAGCGGTGGTCATTGTAGGATTTGTTCATTTCAGAATTTATAAAAAGTAAAACCAAGTGACACAGATGTCTGTTCCAGACATTAAAATGCCTTCTTTATAGCTGTATTTAACGTGCCACCGTAATGAAGATATTCTGATTTGGTTAATGCAGGCGCCTCAGTTTCTCCTCATCATTTTAAACTCTGGGTATTTTTAATTCACTTCTCCTTCCTGTCTGAAATGGTTCAGTGACAGAAAAAAGTATCACAAGCCTTTTCTCAGAATTACACATGTGTTATGTGTAATCGTTTGTGCGTCATGCGTGATATGGAATGATATTTCAAATGACCCAATGTCGAGGAACTTGCAGGATGAGCTGTTTCAGATTATTTTTAGTCCAGTGCGGCTTAATGTCCATTTACCTGCTACATTGGCCTCGGGCCTCTATTAAAACTCCGTTCCCGCTCTCTGTACATGGCCCCAGATTTACAGTGCGGTAATGTGGTTTAATTAGAGTATTAATTTAGGAATTTGCACCGCGGAAGCACAGTACCAGCTGAGGTGATGAAGGTCTGAAAGCGCCACTCCAAGGATTCTGTATTACACTTTGACTTGCAACACTGGCCGAGATATCCTGACTATTAGTGCCTTGTGTGGGTCAAGCTCGAAAGATACAGAATCCTGCATCGCCCACATTCTAACTAGCTGCGGACAGTTTTTAATGCAGGCCGTCTGTTGAAAATGTAGACTCTTTAAGGAAGGCCTGTCTTAGATGCACAAGTGGTGTGGTATTCTTTCTATTAGTTTATTAGCAGGACCAGTGCTCCCTGATCAACACAAACCAAACTGTAAAAGGGCCAGTTAGCCTCGAAGGCTAGTTTCCAGAATAAAATGACCCATCTTATAAACTCTGTATCAAACAGCACAGTTGTTGTTGAGTAATGGGACCCCTCTATGACAGAAGAAGAAGACCCTCATTGTGACTTGACATTGTGCATCAGTGTTGCATATTCTCAAACACGGTTACAGTCGTCACAAACCTTCTGCCACAGTAAACCTTTGGCTTCTCGAAGAAAATCATGCAGTGCAACCGACTGGGGACCAAAGCGGTCCAACCTGTCCCCCTTGTTCTTCACATTCAGTGCTCATACTGAGCCACGTCTGTGTAGATTCTCAGTCATCCAGGTCATTGTTTTCCTCAGAGCTTCAGTAGAACATAACTGGACTTCTGATTTTTTTTGTTTGTTTTTTTTGGTTCTTGAAGTCCTTTCACCTCTCATCCAAGAGGCTTCACTGGTTCTTTCTTTCTTCAAGAACCAAAAAAGACAAGTACCTTCTACTGGAGCTCTGAGGAACACCAAGCAGTTTTTCCACGTCTTTCTAACTTAGAAAGGTGGAAAACTCGACTTTGTATCGATGAATCTGAAAATCATATAGGAAGATAAAAAGGTGGCAAGAGGCTGCATGTCTACTTGTAGTCATCAGCTGGCTTATTGGGTTGTTATGGACTAATTTACAAACGTTTATTATTATGATTCTGATTCTGATTACTATATTGTTTACATCACTTGTTGAGAATTCACATTCGCTGTATTTCCTCCATGTCAGGTTTAATGTTGAACTATATCATCATGGACAAAAATGTTTGAAGTTATGAAACAATATTATTATGTGTCTCCTCGATGTTTTTTGCAGTGATACAACTTCCTCTCAATGCAGGCACAATGCTGGTACATACTGTCGCACTTTTTAGGGAAACGAGACCCCAATGTAAACCATGTTAACCCCTGCCACACACACACACACACACACACACACACACACACTGCAAAGGGAAGCGTCTAAAGTCACGGGAACAGTGACATTAAAAAAAAACAAAACACGAAGTGTAATATTTTGCAACATGAGTATCATTCCAATAAAGTTTTACTTGTAAAATTCTACTGAACTCGTGTGTCCTTTCTGCGTTTATGGAAAAGTGAATAAATGATGAGGTGTTTTAACATGTTCTCGATTTATTTATTTTTTTTTAAGCCTTAAGGTCAAGGCATCAATCTCTGCCGCCTGATGCGGAATGGAGCCACCCATCTGTTGACCGCCCGGCGCAATCTGATTTCGCCATAACGCTCAAAACCAACAACACCCAACAACTCGGAGTGCGCACCGCTGCGTCTTTGTGCTCAGATCGAATCGGCTGTTAACAAACCGTGCGCTGATCAGATTAAGACTGCGAACAAAGAAACGTAGCTCTGAGGCTCCAAAAGGCGAGTCAATTCCACCTTAAATGCAATTTGCGTCTGTGGCGGAGACCGAGGCGCCATCTTCGGTCCACCTTAAGCGCACAATGTGGCCAACGAACGCAAGCGTACCAGCCAGGCTTCCGTCCTCATTCTCCAGCCGGGGATCGCACTTTGGCTTCCCAGCTTTGACACAGCGTCACTTGTGAAACAAACAAGGGGGGCAGGAGAGGGAAGAAAAAAAAGACGCACTCCATCAGTAGGAGAAGATGTCCGAACCCAATAAGTACCGAGAGTGGATCCTGGAAACAATCGACTCTCTCCGCTCGAGGAAAGCTCGTCCGGATTTGGAGAGGATCTGTCGAATGGTCCGGAGACGACACGGGTCAGACCCGGACCGAACCAGGACAGAACTGGAAAAACTGATCCAAGAGCAGACGGTGCTCAAAGTTAGCTACAAGGGCTCCATATCGTACCGGAACGCGGCGAAGGTGCAGAGGAAAAGCCGAAAGAAGAGTGAGTTTACGGCCGCTGGCAGCAGCAGCGGCGGCGGCGGCGGCGCGGAGGCAGCGAGGGAGCGGACCAAACACGATCCTGGGAACAACAACGGCGACAGTGCGCACAGCTTCACCGACCAGGAGGAGGGAGAGGAGGACTCTGAGCCCAGCCCAGATCCCCGCACTCAAACATCAGCCAGCCCCACCGGCAAGAAGCTCAAGCCTGCCTCCAGCCCGAGTAGCGGAAACGGTTGTGGCGCAACAACGGGCTGCGCTGTCGGGAGCGGCTGTAAAGAGGAGAAAGCAAGTGCACCGAGAGACAAGGGATTAGCGGGGGAAAGCCCGTCGCCCGGTTTCGGCCACGGAACAGGCGCACACAACGGAGGGGATGCCGGCAGGACAGCGGCGAGCGGAGGCGACGCAGTTGGCGCGGGGAAGGAGCCCGGTGTGTCCGGAGCTGACAGCCAGAGCAAAACTTGCTCCGGGAGCGTCAACAGCCTCCAGCAGCACCACAGACAGAAGCAGACTGTGCCGCTCAAGCCCAAACTTAAGCTTGCGGGAGGGGGCACCAAAACCGCGGGGAACCACGCCAACTCCGACCTGGGCGACAGATTGGTGGCTTCTGTTCGCAGCCTGTCCGAGAGGAGCCTCCGAGGGGGCTCCGCAGCCGCCGCCGCCGCCGCCGCGACCAGAGGCCACATGAAGCCGCTCGGGCTGAAGGAGATCCTGGGTTATCTGAGCAGCCAGGAGCGGCTGTCTGAGGAGAAGCTGACCCGAGGCAAAGTCAAAGTGGTCATGGAGAGAGAGGTGGCGAGGGGCCGGCTGCGCAGGACCCGCTGCGGGAACATCACTCTCCCTCTGAGGGGGATGGTGGTGGAGGAGCCGAAGAATGCGTCCGCTGACAGACTTGCGAGGAGCGCACTGCAGGACAAACACACAGTGAAAAAGGTGGGCAATGCTAACTTAATATTTCCAACACGTCCCGCCTTGTGCAGGACACAGCCAGCAGCTTGATGGCTTTGCTGATAAATTAATGATCACCGGTTTAAACGTACAGCACCGGGACGCGCTCGGCTTCCGTCGCCAAATCTGTCTTTCTCTTCCCTAAACCTCGATTTTTTTATGTGCAAAAGTGTTTGAGGGGAGGATTTCCGCACATTGGTGGGGAGATTTCATGTTGTTTCGCAGTAAATTGATGCGGCTGTGTGCTTGTATTTGTCCTCTGTGGCAGATGTGTGTGTGTGTATGTGTGTGTGTGTGTGTGTCTGTGCGTTGTGCAGCTCGGCTTCCTGCACAAAAGGTGCGGGTTTCACGGAGCGGCTTCCCCCGGCTCCTCGGGTGCGCGCACCATAAAGAGCGTCTCTGCATGGCGCGAGCACGAGCGCCTCCCGATTCCGTCGCCACATCACTGTTTCGGAGTCAATAACATCTGATTCGGTTCTCGGGGAACTTTAGCGAGACCGGAGTGTCTGGGCCTGCTTGCGCGCAGTAGGCGGTGTCTGTCTAAACTTGAGACGTGCCGCCGCCGCGCTCCTGTGAGCGCAGGGCCGGAGGAGGACACAGCCCCCTCCACACACACACACACACACAAAAAAAATGAAATAAAAAGAGAACAGCCTCGCATCATGTTTGTCTGTGTGTAATACATTTCCGAGGCTCCGTAGTTTGGTTTCTCCTCTCCCCGCGTCCCTCCCGTTTCGTGCCTCATTAAATCCTTTGTAGACTATCGCTCCTGACGGCGCACTCTCCTCCTCCTCGTCCTCCTCCTCCTCCTCCCCTGTGGGCGCAAACTTGAGTACAGTAGGCGGCTATTCTGACATTCTCCCCTCTCCAAGTGGAAGAAGGGAGTTGCAGCCGACCTGATGTGCTGTTTAAACCTCATATCACAACCCACCCCTCCCAAACTCCCGAATGTGAACTTGTGCTTGATCTCCTCAACTTTATGTGTCGTTTTTTTTCAGCCGCCTTCGCCGTCTTCTCTCCGGGAGAATGAGCCGAAGGAAGCAGCCGGTGGAAAAGAGGAGCGGCGAGAGAACGAGGAAGAGATGGAAGAGGAGGAGGTGGAGGATGATCCCCGGAGTTCTGATGAGGAGGGAGGACCATCCCCGGTAGCTATGACAACCGAACCAGGGCTCATTGAGAAAACCACAGAAGATGCTGAGATCCAGGCAGCATCAAAGCTGGAGAGGAGCCCTCAGCAGCAGCAGGGTGGCAAAGGTGTGTCTGTAAAGCTTATTTAAAATGCTGCTGCTATCATCATCATCATCATCATCATCATCATCATCATCACCACCAGGCTACTGCTAGTCCTCCTTTGTTAATAAGTTTCCAGTTACTCCTGATTTACGCACTTGAGTCCATCCATTTTGTATTTCCTGATGTCATTCTAAGTTTAAATCTTGCTTTTATTAGTTTTTAACTTCAGCCTTTGCAATTGTTATGAATTTTAACACTATTTTTACTACTTTATTGTCATTTAAATGTTGCTGTTAGCATTATATTCTGCCTGGTTCTCTTTTTTTTTTTTTATGTTGCTTTGCATTTTTAGGGGTGACTGGCCTCGACTTCCTCCCCAAAACGCCTCCACCTGTCCAGGGAGCCTCACAGTGTAACGGCCTGGAGGACCAAGCTGCTGCCCCTGATCAGCTCCATGTGGAGGCAGAAGTGAGTGCAAGCGTCTGTCTTGTTAGTTTTAACAGCTGCATGATGGTTTTCCCCCAGAGCAAGTCAGTAAAGTCTAATAACCCTGAGTATTAAACTTAAAAGTGCCCCTTATGTACCTTTTTATTAATAGTTAGTGACAAAAATGGGACTGGAACACGAGTAAAGTTTCAACAAGTGAAATTTTTAATGGGGTAAAGAGAAAATCAAAATTCCTGCAGTCTGTTAAAGGCCCCTCTTTAGTGAAAATCAAGTTTTTTACATGTGAACATGTCCACATGGTGTTTCTGGAAGACACGTCAGGAGTGAAATAAGCAGCATGACTGAGCATTTCCACCTATAAGCTGCAGTGTACTGACGACAGTCTCAAAAACACACAGCCAGCGTTTCAAACACAAGAAACCAATCCTGTCAACTTTCAAGGTGGGACCTTCTGTACCATTATCCTCATTCAGAATCTGGTTCCAACATGCATGTCTGAATTACTCCAATAGTGCAATTTGACATGTTGTAAGCCAGGATTCAAAGGATTCAAGGATTTTATTGTTATATGCAGTAATACCAACTAGTCAGAGCAATGCAATTCTTAGTTCTCTACTTTACAACTGCTCATACATACAGGTAACAGAAAAGAAAATATGAATGAATAAGAACCGTGCAAAGAGGGTTTGTACAGAAAAAAAAAACAGGGCGTGCAATATTTATGGTGCAGAAAGTAGTTTTACAGTGTTGTAGGTGAGCTGGTGTGCTTGAACTGCAGGGCAGTGGGCAGAGAAAGAGGCGGCGACTTCATAGATCTGCTCTCTCTGAAGGAGGCAACAGTGTAGAGTGACTTCTAAGCCATTTTAAGGCATTAAGGGATCGTTTTCATGCAAAAAAAAAAACAAACTTCGAAATAGATACTTTTGAGACTCAGATGACTTTATAGGGGTTTAATCAATGACTGGAAAGGGACTTTAATCATGTTAGTAGTGACTGCAGGAATTAGTGAGTAATGGGTGCAGAGGGAAAGCACAGAATCGTAACCAAATTTGCCAGCGGAGCCCTGAAGAGAGGATTCAGGCGTCTGTCTGTGTCCTGATGTCCTTCTCTGTTTGTCCAGTGGCTGCTGGGCCAAGACTCAGGCAAACAGGGTCACAGTATGATACGGGATTACTGAGGCATTAAACATGTTAGCATTTGTGTAAATTTGCAGTCAGTCAACACAGTGATAATTGTCAACTTTTTCTGACATTGATACCAACACACATATATATTTATATATACATGTATATATATATATATGTGTAGTAGTATACAATTAAATAAATAGAATGGAAATTATTTGAACTACTCTTATGACCCTCTGGCAGAAGCAAACTTACAATAAAAGGCTTTTCAAATATATATATATACACACACACACATATGTTCACTTGGCGGGCTGCAAGGTGGCTCGGTGGTTAGCACTATTGCCTCGCAGCAAGAAAGTCGCCGGTTCGCGTCCCGGTGAGGACACCTGTGTGTTCTCCCCGTGCAGCGTGTGTTTTCTCCGGGTTCCTCCCACAAGGTCCAATTGTGGTTAATTGGTGATTCTAAATTGTCCATAGGTGTGAAGGTGAGTGTGCTTGGTTGTCTGTCTCTAAGTGTAGCCACTTGGCAGAACTTCTTCATCTTACACATAGAACACAATATATTTAGTTTTATGTAACATTTTTAAACTAAACTGTATAGTTTTGACCTGACAGACATTAACTATTCGCCATTGTTCCTTTTGGACTGGTTATGCGCCCATGTTGATAACATCATTCATCCCTAGTAACACTGCAACTTATTGTTAATGTTAAAATCTGCAAAAAACATTCCCACTGACTGTTGCTATCAAACACTTTTGCGAAGAACAAAATAACATAAATATGAAGAAATTACATTTTGTTGAAAACTGAGCTGAAGTTTATAACAAAAGGTGCATCATCGGCTTTAACACAGTTTGAAATTCTAAACAGTAAATGAAAAATATGACACTTTCGGTATCATCATATTTCCAACCACGTGGCTGATCCACGTCCAGAGTGGCTTCACTGTTTCCCCGTCACGAGAGCAAACACTGTTATCACTTCTCAACCTCACTGATATGCAAAATTTAAACAGAATTTATAACCGCAAGATGGCGAATGAATGTTTGAAGTGAGATAACCACAGGGGAAAACTGTATCTTCAGTGTTGAGATGATTAGAGGAGCTTTTTAAAAAAGAAAATAGTTTACAACATAATTAGATAGGTTAATTTGAGCATTTATTCCAAAATAAACACAGAAAAAATGAAAACTCTCAATTGAAGAAAAGACTTATTAGATTTGAATGTGTGTTATATATTCTCTGTGCTACATTTTAGAATGTATGAGTTTCCCCCACTCGCTTATATGTTTTATTTATTCATCATTAGAATGAGAATTGATATTTAGGTATAACAATCATGTAGAATGGTGTTTTCAAAATGTAGACTATTTAAGAATTAAAAGGACTGACAGGGGAGATAATTAGCTGCTTTTGCTGACTGAAAATGTGAATTTCATATGGAGGTCAATCAATTATCAGATCTGATATTTGGCATTTCTCTGATTATTGGCATTGTTTTCAGATGAAGTAATTTAAAAAGTTGAATTGAATTAAACACGTGTAAAACATAAATAAGTACATTTAAACACAGATTTTGACACAAAGATTTTGATAAATCTGCTTATATAGGTTCTGTTGTCTGGTTGCTAAAAATAAACGCGATCATCCGCGTTGAAAGAACCATATCAGTCGACCACGAACATCTCTGAGGTACACGTGGTACATGATGCCTTTTGTGTATTGTTTTGTGGTACAGAATGTATTTCTGTATGAGAGTTAAATGCATTTAGGATGTAAAGCATTCACATTATCGTGTTACGTAAGAAATGATTTAACTAATCTCTGTATACTGTATGATAACAGCTGCCAAATAGAAACCAGTTAATCTGAGGGTAGCTGACAGCTCGCTGGGGCGGATCTGCTTGTCCATGACCCACCTGATAGGTCAAGTGTTCACATGCTGAGTGTGAATACATGATGCATGTGAACAAAATGATTTTCATTAATCACCATATTCAATGCAGTCTTTTGCAGTGTGCATGTTGCACCTGTTCATATCATGACGACAGTGAATGTAGGACTTAAGGTCAGTGCTATTTCTCAGACAGGCTGAGATGCTGCACTGAACACTGCCTCTAGTAGTGTACACAGCATTTCATTAAATATTAAATGAATAAGAAATGACTTAGGAATTGTCACTTTGCTGATTAGGAATCAATTCCCAAGTGTCCAAAATGTGTATTTACTCTTCACTACAAAGTAAACTGTTGAGTATCTAGAGCACATGGCAGTACATTATAGACAACATACAGTATGCAACAGAAGTGAGTGCACGTCTCTGTAATATCACCCAAATGTGAATAATTCAAAATGTATTACCTTACAGTAATTGCAACCAAAATCAATACATTACTAATTCAGATCTATTATTTAATGAATGCTTTGTCCATCCACGTTTATTTTTGATGACTGACTCAAACCTCCTCGTCGTGAAGGATACCTGAAAATGTTCTGTCGTTATTCAGAGAAATTTTATTTTAGCTGCTTTCTGTTGAAGGGGTTGTGTTGCTCTATCTTTATCTTTAAAATTCCCCAAAGGTTCTATTGGATTAAAGTCAGGCGACACACTAAGCCAAGTCTTAGTCTTCACTTATTTCTTTTTTATTAACTCTTGTGTGACTTTGGCAGTGCGCTTTGGATCGTTTTTATGCTGGAATATGGCTTTTCTGCCAAGCCTCTGCAGACTGGGAGTTATTTTTATTAAATATTTTGGTGTATTGGTATGAAATGGCATCCATGGTGCCATTTATAAGTGTCAGCTCTCCTTCTACTTTTGCACTCATGCAGGCCCATGTTATCACACTCCCAGCTCTGTGCTTCACTGTCAGGACGATACATTCACTGTGGTGGTTCTGAATAAGGTCACGATAAGCAGGCTGGACCATATCTGAGCCAAAAACACTTATTGTGGTCTCATATTTCTTTCATGTCCTTCGGCAAATTTAAATCTTGCAGTTTTGCACAGAACAGCAAGCAAGGATGTTGGATGCCATCCATAGTGGTTGACTTTTGGAAGTTTTCACAGAAACTCTATTAATGACCCCTGTTCTGAAGCTTAATCATTTGCCCATCTCTTTTTCAGAGCTAGACTGTGCAACAAGCATACTTTTTTTGCCGTCATATTAGGGGGGGGGGGCAGTCTCTGCAGCTCTGATTAGTGGTCCTATAGCTCATTCTGTACCTCCTGATTACTGCTGCAATAGTGTTTGGACTGTTTTTTAGCTGGGTTTTAATGCAGCCCTCTCCACCTTTGTGAAGTCTCACGTTCTGATTGTTTAGTTCTTCTGGCAGTTCTTTTCCATGTGGAGCCATGATGCAGACATGCCCATAGGTCCAAAACTGAGAAAGTTCTGGCATTTCCAGGTCATTTTATAACTTTGTTCATGCTGTTAGGATCGTTGGAAATCACTGGTGTACTCAGTTTGCTTTCAATGATTGCTAACTTGTGTGTCGGTGATCATAAGTGTATTCACTTTTGTTGCAATGGATTTCTACTTTGGGGCCTGTATGTTCAACATACTCTTTCTGAAGTATTAGTTTTTGAGTGTTCATAAAAAGAAATACCCTACTTGTCAACTCAGGGTGACAGAGTTTTGAATAATTTGTCATTGCACAGGGATGCACTCACTTCTCTTGTATGTTGTTTGAATAACACAAAAAATAAAAGTACATTAGTGTTTATGGTTTTGTATATGGAGCTTGGGATGACATGGCTTCGGTCACCTTTATCTGCTCCTGAGTGTTCATTATGTATGATGTGATGAATAAGTCAACAAGGGAGTTATTTCAAAGACAGCTACAGATTTTTCTTGTTTAAAATGACAAGTGGTTCAAATTTTCCTTGTCACCGCGGTGGTAGACGGTAATTTATCTCCAGGAGTCCTGTTCTATCTTCCCCAAAAGGCCAGGCAGAAAAATCCCATTAAGTTACAGAAGTTAGCGGCTGTTTAAAACCGACTGCTCTCCTCTGGGATGACTCATCAGCTTTGTCAAACTTCGCTCCCCCACCAGTCCACCACTTGATACCTTGCACATCATCATTTACTCTCCCACAGCAGATGGTCTTAATGTCCCGCTGCCGATTTGTCATGATGCATCTTGTCGCAGCAAAGCTCCTCTTGTCCTTCACTTTAGGTTGAGGTCGTTTCACCCTGACTCTTGGTTGTTTGTATTTTGCTTGACCCTGTCGCTTTCTTTTTTTTTTTTTTTTATCCACACACAGAATCGGACGCAGCCTGACGGGACAAACCATACCTCCCCAGGCTTTAACAGTGAGTTTGGCTTTACTGATTACATATTATTGTATTTGTGCATGTGTAGTTGTGTAGCACCAATGCCAGCTTAATTTTTCCCACGTAGGCTTGGAGTGTAAGACAGAGGTCGGTGTGTCGTCATGTCTGCTGACACCCACTGCCTCCCCGAGAGACTCCGTCCTGTCTGAAGAACGAGGGATTAGTGTTAGCGGCGGAGGGTGAGTACTGTAGAGATGTGGGTGATGCGGAAATGAAAACTCTACTACTAATCTAAGTGCTATTTTTCTGTGCTAAATGTAGCTAATGTTGAACATAAGTTGTTTGTTTTTTTACACATATCAAACAATCATTTTAAAATTCCTGCAGCTCTTACGATGAAGAAGAAAGACACTGTACACTTAATTCCCTGTTTTATCACATCTGCAGTTACATTGCATCCAGCCTCGCAACAGCAGCCTCCTCACTGCAGTCCTGCTAAGTTTAGTGGCCTCAGGGACATCTGTCTGAAGCAACGAGAGGCCAAATGATGACACAAACAGTCATTGTTTTTCATCTTTGGTTGTAATTGATGATTGGCTGATGTTTATGATGTATGGATATCAACAGATGCTTTGTGCTTTCCTTTGGTGATGCTCCGCTGGACCAATTCGGAATCAGAAACCGTTTTATTGCCACATGGGTTTTCACATGCAATGAATTTGACTTGGGGTTTTAGTGCATAACAATAAAAAGTATAGATAGATAGATAGACACAAAGTGTTACAAGTCAAATTAACAGCAAGTGTAATCCAGGGATTATGAATCAGAAAATATCCTACAAATCCCTCCAGTGTGCAGGATGGTGCAAATGAATCGCCTGTGCAAGGTAGTATGCAATGTAAACAAATTGAAATGTGCAATACGATAACAATAATCCTATTTAAAAGCTGTGAGTTAAAGAGGTCCACTGCCTGGGAGGGGTCGGCCACAATCTCCCCAGTAGGCATTAGGGTCCTGGAGGGTCGAGAGATTACAGCCAATCACCTTTTTTCGGCTGAGCAGATAATGCAGGCATATTTACTTCTTGCTTGTTTCGGTGGCTTCGTTTTGACTACAGTGTGATTTTCAAAAGATCAAACTCCTACATCAGATGGCTGATGTGTCAAGAACAGCCAGCTGTAGCTGTTTGCACGGTTACGGCTCACTGTCCTCCTGTACTGTACATTTTTTGGAGGACGATGTTCAGCCAGTATATTTCATTTTAACTCCAACGTGCTGAGGTACAGAGCTGAGAACAGACAGAGAAAAAAAAATATGCTTTGACTGCACAGGGGGCCTAATTTCCATCTGAATGTCTGAATTAATCACCCTCAGCTACCTAATCACTTATTGGGCATACGTGTGTTCCAATACAACCTTTCTTCCTGATTGTATCATCCCCTTAAGATAAAGTGAGACAAAGGTTGGTCATTCAACATTAATCAGGACATAAAATTCTTCTGCAGTCTCAAGTTCAAAGTTTATTTTATCCTTCAGTGAAACCATATTTGTTACCAAAACATAGCAAATAAATGCACAGGAAGCAGGAGTTTACCCTGTCCTACCTGTAAAAGTTTACTACTTCAGCCTCTCTTGTGGTTTTTATGTCAGCCCCAGAGTTCAGCAGCTGTTTTTCTTTCCAGGCTCATAAAGTCCGAGGGGGCCAGTGGGAGCCCGGTGGACTGGACAGTGTCCGATGTGGTCAGTTATTTCACAGCGGCCGGTTTCCCTGAGCAGGCTGCTGCCTTCAGGACCCAGGTGAGCCTGTAATCTGCTTTGACAGCCACTAGGGAGCGCCATAGCTCACTTCAAACTTTTAACACTTGTAACCTGCATGTACCTCCATGCGTTGCTTTGCTCTCCTCATTTAGGAAATCGACGGAAAGTCTCTCCTCCTCATGCAGCGTAACGATGTTCTGACCGGCCTGTCCATCAGGCTCGGCCCCGCCCTCAAGATCTACGAGCGTCACGTAAAGGTTCTGCAGAAAACACACTTTGAGGATGACGACTGCTAACAGCGCACAAAGCACACGCAGACTGTTATGTTTGTACCTACATATAGCTCAAGTAATATAAAAATGCATGCATGATATACAATACAATACACTTAACTTTCCATCCCATGTCAAACAGCACACACACACACACACACACACACACACACCTCTGTTTTACTTCCTCTACAACTGGTCTGGTCCCATAAGCGACACAGAAGTGAGACTGGACTTTCTACCAAACAGAGCACAAATGTTGGAGGTAGAAAGCAGAATCATAAAAGAGACGTCTTAGGATGCAGATATTCAAAACAATCATGCAATTTCTTCTTCTTTTTTTTTTTTTTAACAACAATTAAGCACTTTGCAATTATATCGATTAAACTGTGCAAGATGGTTTGTGTCTAAACTGCTACTCCGTGCTGACGTTTATGCACATTTTTAAAGAAGCAGTGGCTGTTCTGTGTAGAGGGAGGGTGAACTGTGGTTGGGTTTTTTTATTTTGCCGGTTTTTTTATGGGGCTGTGATCTGAAAGCTTCTTGTTTGTGGGTACGTGTTTTTCCACTTAGATCATGTTGGACAGAACAACAGCAGTTTAGAAGCTGAGCAGATGAAATACATTCCCAGAGGCTGGAGTGGATGGTTTGAGATGGTGAACCAAATTATTCGTCCTATGTGTCCAAAAAAAAAAAATAAATCTGGTGCACGGTTTCGCAAATGATTGTCGATCAAAGCAATAAACTGATCATTTCTCCCGGGATGTTTGAGGGGTCGTTGGGCCTTGTCAGCTCGTAGATTGTCGGGTGGTCGATTCTGTGTAGCCTAATGTGAAAATCCATGACGTTAACTTTGTTTTTGAACAGATCTGTTCATAATCTGCTGTGGCCTATGCATCACCACATCAGGGGCTGGTTTCACAACGATACACTTTGGCCGATAGGTTAGAAGAAAATAATGATTGAACACCTAAATTCATCTGTCGTATGATGATGTCTAGCTGTTGGAAGCTGATTTGATATGATTTATGGGTAAATTGAGAGTTTTTTCCCAAACATAACAATAAACTGTCTGATTGACCAGCTGTATCAACCGCTCAGCTGTTTAGCAGCCTTCTTGTAGAATTTAGCGAAGAAAGCTTAAGAAGTGAACAACAATATAATAACCTCGACTAGCACAGACTCACGGTGCTGATTTTAAAGTCCTTCCCCAGTCACTCATCTCTTTTCATAAGGGTTACATATTTTCACTCCATTTCAATAAACCCTTCCTGCCTTAAAATGGTTCAAATGTAGCTCTACACCGCCGCCCATTTATCAACGTGTAGATCGATGAAGTCCCTGCCCTTTTCTGCAGCTCAAGCACACCAGCTCACCTCGTACTCTGCTCAAATGCTGTCAAACTACTCTGCGCCACACAATGGTAGGTCGTAATAGTGCAGTGATTCAGGCACACTGAAACGTATTATGCAGAGGAAAATTCAAACAGAATCAGTTCCTTTCTTGTTCATAATGTAAAAAAAAAAACCTAATTTCCCCCAAAAGTGGGCGTCTAATGTGACAGGGCTCAGTAGCTAACCTGACATTATTTACTCATGTAGTCAAACAATAGTGGAAAAATGTTTTTTAAGTTAAAATATGTTATTTTTGTGAATGTAATTTTAATCTTTAGGACTCACATCATTAAAAAGCACGTATTAGGTGTCTGGTCCGACATATTGACCCTGGTATATCTTTTACTTCTCACTAAATGGGTCATTTATTAGCAACTTAGCTTTTTCAGATGCTGGAATCATCTGCACAGTTGCTGCTGAATATTTAGTAACAGCTAATCTCTACATAGGAACTGGTTTGTGAGGTTCAACCCAGTTTCATTTAGTCATGCAAACCAAAGACATGAGAGACTCGCCACTTAAGGAACCCTGAATAGAAATTGGTGGGGGAATTTTGTAACGGCAAAGATGGTGGTTACATGACACGTCTTGCATCTTCCTTAAAAAACAAAAAAAACAAAACAATACTCTGCTTTGTAACAAACTGGAAAACATCCAGCCAGTCTGGTTGTTGTGTAGCACAAGAACAACGCCGTAAAACTGTGTACATGTGTAGAAGAAGAAAGAATTGCTTTCTTAACCTTATCTTGCAGTAAAGTAACTAAACTTTACAGTGTTTTTTTAATCATGTGGCTGGTGATTTTATACAAGAAGTTTGTTCATCATTTGAAATTGCAGTTAAGTTGTCTTTACATTAATTCAGATAGCAACCTTTTCCTTTTACCAAGATGGCTGCCAGCGAGGGGCGAGACTTGCCTATGAGGACCTTAGCGTAACTACTCCATGTCGGAACCCTTTGTGTTTCCTTCGACACATGAAAATAACTGACTGATGCCATCACTTCTGTACTTTTCCAAAAACCTCTCTACAATCAGGACAAAACCACAAATTATGAGCTATGTTTACTTTTTTCTTGTCATTTGATACCATTGGTCAGCATGAAAGCATTCATCTCGAGGTTTGGTTGACTTCTTAGGCTTCTAGAAAACCAGTTTAACTCACATTAAAGTTAATCTAGCATTAAAACTAAGACTGGCCTACCATTAGACAACAGCCTAAAACATCTCTGTGAAACCAGCCCCAGACGAACTGCAGAAATGCTGATCGAATACACCAGCTGACTAAACTGAAATCAACAGAACAATCAATGTTTCGACTATATATACTAGAGTGAATATGTAAATAAATTGAAACAGACTCACGTAAGACATTAGCCATTTGTAAATCGTTGCAGTACCATTAACTGAGAGATGTAATCGCAGGGTAAAGCTGAGTCAATCAATCAACTAATCTCATACCACCAGCATTTTTTAACCGTTTTTAATGGTCGATAGTTCGCAACCAAACGCTGTCCAATTGTCATTCCCGCCCGCACTTAACGGACAACATTCCAGGTTTTGCATCACAAAAATATGTTCTTTCCTGTTATATTTATGTTTCTGTTACTTTTTTTTTTTGAGCATATTTTATTTTGTGAAATGTCCACGTTGTCCACTCTCCATGCACTGTCGTTCAAATCAGATCCGATGTTCCTTTGTGTATTTAAACCTCCTCTACCTCTCACTTTCATTCTCCTTCCAAGAACACTTTTTTTTTTTCAGGTTTGTAACAGTTAGTAGAAGGTGTCTGTTACGGTGTTTGTTACCATCATCTCATTCCTTTTTTTTTTGTTACATCTGCTGGAGAGAACAGTCCTGATTCTCACAAAGGGGAATGTACAGTGTGTCTATGCCCTTTTGTTGCTTGTCTCCTGTTATTTGTTAAAGGACATTTTTAGTAATAAAATTTGAATTTCAAACACCGCAGCGTGCGAAGGAACGCTCAGTTGTCGCAGTTCTTGTTTTGCATGCCGTGAAAGCTTATTGCATGTTCGTGCACATTCATGGGAAGGCCGTGTCCTGTTCGCGTGCGTGTGTGTGCACCGGACATGAATGTTCACATGTTGTGCATGAAGGGAGGGGAACCGAGGAGCAGCTGAGTGGCAACAGCAGCTCCCTTCAGTCACAAGGACGAGGAGTCGAATGTGGGAAAGACACAACCTCTCCTGGAGATGAGACAGATGATGTGTCAGTTCTTTTTTGAGGGGAGAAAGGTGTACCCAGAATTTATTTTGACCCATAAATATTTCACACTAGTTGGGACCAGCGAGGCTCTTGCTTGCATTTGCTGGTTGGTAGCAGGGGGAGGAGGAAATATCACACTCTATCTGTTCTGGGACAGTCTCCAAGGTAAGTGCTTGGGATCTCTGTGTGTACATGAGTGTGCGTGTGTGTGTGTTGGGTTATAATAAGACAGGGAAGCAGATGGGCATATTTATACCGCCTCTGAAAAACAAGTAGGCTGCAGCTCCTGCAAACATGGGGGTTCAAGGCAACAGAGGAAAAAGAAAACACTGAGGCTGGGAACTTCTGGGGCTTCAGGAAGACCAAAAACCTCCCCCAAGGAAGACTAGATCGGACAGAATTGGAAATCTTTGGCACTAATTAGAACCATACTGGGCCGACTCCTGAATACACCTCGAACCGAAGAGGGGAGTAAAGGGGTGAGGGTGAAAAACTGAGGGTATCTGAACTCTGAAGAGAAAAGAGAGCAGTCATGCCAGGCTCAGGAGGAGCAGAGTGAGTGAAACAGCTGCTTATGCACAGTATGTTAGTGCCTGTGTGCTTGCATGCATGTTTGAACACTACAATGCTTTATGTCTCATGAAACTGGTGCTACTGTCAAATGATCAAATTAGAAAAAGGCTCAACTTTTTTCCCCCACAATAAACTATTTAGAAATTCATTTTAACATGTTATTTTCACAGTCAAGTGGTTGCTACGTGCAGAGCCAACGGGTTTCTAAATACAGCTCAGGGTCACATGAGGAAATTAGAGCTTCATGAGCAGAGCCTGCTTGTGTCATAATGTGTCTCTTGTATGGAAGCCCAAAGGGAGAAGATTTCTCCACGGCCATCCTGAAACAGAAACACAGACCCAACAGGTTAATTGTGGACGAAGCTCTCAATGAAGACAGCAGCATTGTCAGCCTGTCGCAGGTGTGTGAAGTGAAAATACAGCCAACACCAGAGTCGTGTTGGTGTTTGTTCATTATATACGTGTGCATGTGTTTGTTACTAGAGTAAGACGGAGGAGCTGCAGCTCTTCCGGGGGGACACGGTGGTGTTGAGAGGGAGGAAACGGCGGCAGACGGTGTGCATCGTCCTGACCGATGACACCTGTGGAGAAGAACGGATTCGGATGAACCGTGTGACGCGCAACAACCTGCGAGTCCGGCTTGGCGACGTGATCAGGTAATCATCACATTTGTCTGCGCAGAGTCGCCATGTTGGGTTTGAGATCATTATTTTGAAATGCATGCTGATGTGTGTGTTATCACAGCATCCATGCCTGTCCTGATATCAAATATGGGAAGAAGATCCACGTCCTCCCCATTGATGACACCATTGAAGGCCTGTCAGGGAATCTCTTTGAGGTTTTCCTCAAACCCTACTTTCTGGAGGCGTACCGACCTGTTCACAAAGGTATGGCGACACCTCTGCAACAGAATAAAATCAGATGTGTCCATGAAACAAGAAATCCTCTCCTACACCTTGTTTCGGATGCTCCTGTGAATCTTCATCTGTGCTGTCAGGTGACATCTTCCTGGTGAGGGGCAGCATGCGGGCGGTGGAGTTCAAGGTGGTGGAGACGGACCCCAGCCCTCACTGCATCGTGGCCCCGGACACTGTCATCTACTGTGAGGGGCAGCCGATCAAAAGGGAGGTCAGTGTGAAGTCAGTACCAGAACTCCTTCTCGAGATCATCATCGCAGCTGTCTTGTTTGTGTCCCAGTTCCAAACTTGTAGAGCACGCACTTCATGAAGTACCCCGCCCCCCCCAAGAATGGTAGTTTAGTTTGCATGATTCATTTCTGTGGTGCCAAGTCGCAACAAATGTCCCCATGCAAAACTATACAGAGAAACCCAACAAATCCAAATTTTTCTTTGAGCAAGCACATGTGTCAGGACCCCAGCCTCCGCCTCAGCCCTCTTCCTTTCTCTGTCCCCTTCTTTTCCCCTCCTCTCACTCAGCTGTGCTCACACTCCCTCCAGTCATTCCAGTGTGTCTGATTGCAGGCATTGGAGGCAGCTGCAGGGATCGGCTCACCTGTTCACAATCACCTCGTTCCACAAAAAGCCCGGTTCATTCTTCCACACTGCTCCACCCCATAGACACTGTAACGCTGTTTTCCTGCCAATCCCTGACCTGTCTCCTGCCTGCCTTCCCCTTTAGTTTAGTGTCCATGTCCTGTGAGTATTCCTGTTTTGTTAGTCTAACTTTAGTTTATTCATATTAGATCCCATTTTGTGTGTTGAGTGACCTCTGGTTTAAGCCATTCTGTTTTCTCCTCGGTTTAGTTTCTCTGTATTGGTTTCAGTTAAATTCTGTTGTCTATTAAATCCTTTTGTAAACTCCGCCTGCCTGCTCCTGTGTCTTGTGAACGTGGGTTCTCTGACCAGCCGTGATCAGACATCTACCAGATTTTCCACCTAATCCATATTACATTCAATTGCGGATTAACTCCATCAATACTAAAAAAATGTCAGAATTTCAATACTCATGTTGACATTTTAGAGTCCGTCTTCTTACGTGAATGTTCTATGTGCTAAAAACTGCACTAGAATACTTTATATAGTAACTGAGACTACACACAGATTTGCAATTTGTTTTTTTTTTAAAGCAAGACATTTACTCATGTAACATCCCATCCATCTCATCCTTTTTTTTAATGAAGACTATGCAGGCTACTACAGTAAATAAGTCTCTCTAAGTGTATCTAAAGTCTGGCTTGGAATTTATTTTTTTTATGACACGGGATGAAACACTTCTTCAGTCTGAAGGTGCACAAGGTGTTTAAAGTTTGATAAACTGGCTTCAAGGGGCCTTTGATGGTTCAAGCAAAACCTTCATCAGCTGGTGTGGATGAAACAAGGCAACATGGGATCCATGGATTCTTGCTGCAACTCTATCAGATTTGTATTTTTATGTGCTTCAGTGTTTCGCTTTCTGCCCTGTGACAGGACGAAGAGGAGAGTCTTAATGACATCGGCTATGACGACATCGGAGGCTGCCGGAAGCAGCTTGCTCAGATCAAGGAGATGGTCGAGCTTCCTCTTAGACACCCAGGACTCTTCAAGGCTATCGGAGTGAAGGTGCCGCGCAAACACACAAACAAACTCACCCAATCCACCCAGAAAACAGCTCCTTTACATTCTTCTTCCTCTCTCTCAGCCCCCCAGAGGCATCCTGCTGTACGGCCCTGCAGGTACAGGAAAGACCCTGGTGGCTCGAGCGGTAGCCAATGAAACCGGTGCCTTCTTCTTTCTCATCAATGGTAAGGTTTTCTTCTAAACATACAGCGTTAGTACCAAGTGAGTTAAGGAGAAATGATCTGATCCTGCGCTCTCAAAGTGAGGAAACTAAATACACGGAAGCTACTTTTGTTTTCTAATTAATAATATTCCGCAACCAGGTCCTGAGATCATGAGTAAACTGGCAGGAGAGTCAGAAAGCAACCTAAGAAAGGCGTTTGAGGAGGCGGAGAACAACGCGCCAGCCATCATCTTCATCGATGAGCTGGATGCCATCGCTCCCAAGAGAGAGAAGGTAGACGGAAGAGTCAAATCAAGAAGCCTGATTCTGCAGCGAGTGCAGACACTGCATCTCATCTGTGAATATCTGTTTTGTTTTGTCCATATGCAGACAAGTTAAAGTTAAATGTGTTTTACCGTGTGACTGTGTGTGTGTGTAGACTCACGGTGAAGTGGAGAGGCGTATAGTTTCTCAGCTCCTGACCCTGATGGATGGCTTGAAGCAAAGAGCTCATGTGGTTGTCATGGCAGCAACAAACCGGCCAAACAGCATAGACCCTGCTCTGAGACGCTTTGGTCAGGACACGAACACACACACACACAAACACACACACACACACACACACACACACACACACCTACGCAAACAAACACACACATTTACAAACATGTCGATGTCTCTCCAGGCAGGTTTGACCGTGAGATTGACATTGGGATCCCAGATTCGACCGGCAGACTGGAGATCCTGCAGATCCACACGAAAAACATGAAACTGGCTGATGATGTGGACCTGGAGAGGGTGAGCAAAGAAATCTATATAACAAGCTAAAGTTATGAGTTAATTAAGGTGAAGTAATTAGTTGCAATTGTAATAATTGTCTAAATGTTTAGGTAGCTTTTAAAGCAAAATTTCCTCTTTCTATATAGCTTCAGCTTTTAAAGTCTGATGATGGCTTCTAACGGAAAACAAACAGTTTTCTGATGCCGTCATGCAGATCTTCATTTCACTAAAATTCAACTTGGATCGTTTGTTCAGAAAAAGTTTGATAGCCACTGGTCATACATGGCAGTAAAATGACTTTCTTTGGGTTTTAGTCTGTTGGTTGCACAAAAGAAATCTAATGATCAAATCTTTGGCCCTAATAATGGTAATGAGCATTTTATTTTTTAACACTGCAGACTAAATGATGAAACTGGGGAACGAGGTGTCAGACTAACCTGTAATTAAAAAAAACAATCAGTAGTTGGATCTAAGAAATTTGTTCTAAGAAATGCTCCTTAATATCCATGTTATAGCATGAACTTTGACAAAAGTCTCATTTAATGAGAATATTTCCAATTAAATGAGACAATTTTGAATTATGTGAATTTAAAATGACTTTAAACTAAATTTTGTCTTGAAAAAAATTACATAATTTCTTGTTCTTTATTTTATCCAACTCAATTTAAGAGGAAATACAGAATA